TCCCTCCTTTACTTAAATCCGTGGATCCAGGAGTTTTCTGTAGGCCTGTATTAGGGCATCTGGTGAATAGGTTATGGTCACAGCAAAAGTGTTTTCAAAAGCCTCTGTAAGGGCACAGTGTAGTCTGTTTTTAAAGTTCCTCTATAAAGAGTCAAAAGTAGCTGGAATAATTTCCATCTTTCAGACTAATCCGGGATCAGTTGCTGGAAGGAGACTTCACTCTGAACATGAGGCTGCTACAGGTAAGGGTTAAATATAGTGGGCATAGGGAGCAATCGGAAGGGTTGTAGTAAAACAGTACTGTGAGAGAGGGTGATGGTATGAGAGGGGGTACACCTGGCTGAAGAGAGGTGCCAGATTTCTGATGTTTGCATGCAGAAGAATCTTAAGGGATCTTACAGCATTCTCATTACTGGAAGTGTGAGTCTTTTGCTTGTGCACTCATTCTAGCCTACAGAGAGATTGTCATAGACTAGAGGTTTTTAACGTCTTTTGGTTTGCAAAAAATGTAAGTTTCCAGCAAAGATGTGAAACCCTATGTAGCAGTGTTAAATTTATTGGCCAGAGGCTTTTGTTTAGTTCTGAGATCTGTGAGAGCCCAAGGTTGAAAACACCTGCACTGCACAGTGGGATATCTCCGACTCTGCCAGTTCCTGCTTTGGGCTGCGCAAGGTACTGGCTCTGATAAGGCGTTCGGGCATGAAGATAGCCCTTGTAGCAGGCCAGCTTACTGTACCCTTGGAGGACAAATTAAAGAAAAAAAAAATCTTCTTGAAGGATATTGAGGCTTGATTGGTTACAAAACGGGAAACTGTTAGCTGTTAGGGGAGTAACTGAACGTGGCTGTGTTATAATAGGCCAAGAAATGTGAGGTAGTTACTTACATCGCTTTGTTTCTTTGACATAGGATTATCCTATCTCTGATGTTCACCTGATTTTGAAGAAGGCAAAGGAACTTCAAGATTCTAAGTAGTCCATGAGCCTAACAAAAGGTGTCAGAGAAACTGTATGGCAGCGGATCCCAGGAGATGCCCCTCTGCAGTGTGGTGCATTAAAGCTCCTAGTGGTCTCTGCAGGACTTCAGGTTTTGTGTTTGGGCTACTGGGCACCTCAAAGACTTCCTTCTACTCTATTTATTAGCTCAAGGACTGATTACTTCCCCACCTACTTGGGTCCTGCACTCCAGATTTTTTCAAATCTCAAATGCCTCTATGCTGCCAAAAGCAGTTCTTTGTATCTTTTTTTAATGACTTTAAGTTTGGGGAGAAAGAAACCATCTGTCTGCGTACCCCTGAAGGGATGGACTCCTATATCATGGAAGTAACACATGGAGTAACTTCTGATGGGGAAAGGACAGGCTGAGTCCAGTGGATTTTGGTGGGTGAGTGTAGAAGGATCTTCCTCCTGTGAACAGAATGTATCCCAATGAAGTCACGCATCCTGCCGTTCAAGTAGCTTCTGGATTCTTCTCCCTCGTGTCTGCACTCGGCCATCCCTGGGGTGTGCAATGAAGATTATTGCATCAGTTTCTGGTGATTGTCATCTAATATCCGGCAGTTTGGACCCCTTTGCCTGGGCAAGAGACCTTGAGAAGCTGCGATGGGAGGAGACGATTACAGCTGGCGGCTTTGTGCACTGAAACTGCCTGAATCCAGAATCGCCTTATCAACAAGGTCTCCTTGAAAGCAAGACACTGGTGGCTTTAATCAATGAGTGAAGTGTAGTTTGAAGTCAAGCCTTATTACGCACAGCCTTAGAGCAGGAGCTTGTTGCTGCAGGGAGGCCTCAAGCTGCTTTCCTGGCTCTGAACTGGAGCATATCCAGCTACAATCAGGATTCTGAAATACAAGAAATGGGCATCTAGTCATGTGCAATGAAGACAGCCGTATCTAGGAGCTTATACAGGCATGGCACTGGCGTTTTCTGCCTCAGTGGCTTGCGTAATATTACCCTGTGTAAGCTCTGGTCACGGTAACCTTGATTCTGTCTCATAGTACTTCTTGTCAGGAAGAGACATGGTACAGGTCCGACCTACGATTAAGAGTCCTTTCCTGGTGTAACCCGGTGGGCATACAAGCATTTGTCATTAGCTGACTGCTGGGGCTGATCCACTTCTCCGTGTACCGGTCCTGTGGGAGTCACAGTCCTGAGCTGGACACTTCTCCTCCTGGGAGGGAAACTGCTGCATTTCAGATACAGTGGAGCAGGCTCACGTGAACATCAGCTAAGACAAACTACGGAGAGAACTGCTAACCTGCCAGCAGTGTCAAGCTGATGAGAAACTGTAATCCTCGGAGGGAGAAACTGCCAGCACCCAGGTGCTTGGGTTGTGCAGAAGATCTTGAGTGAACACTAATCCAGCGTGCTTTTCCTTTTCTTTCTGTGCTGTGCTGGCTTACCTCTGCATAGCTGTTTGACACTGCAGTTTTCGGTATTTATGGGTATTGATTTGTTAAAGGTCAGTTTTCTTTGTAATATCTGCTTAAGCTGCTGATGGCTTAGAATCGCCCTAGCAGGAGGGATGTTGTCAGCCATCAGCTGTTTTACTAGTGTTATTTCCTTCACCGAAGGCCAGTTCTTTACAGGCTGCTGTAATTCTCACAAGGGTGGGTGGGGAGAGTGACGGCCAGGTTGATGCATGCACCTATGTTCTTATTGGCAATCCCAAGCAATCTCTCTGCCTCTTCAGAAGATGCTTGAGTGACACTGGTGCAGCCAGCTGTTGCTGCTGTGGTGCAGAAAGAACAAGACTGAAAACAATCTGTAGTTAATATCTGTGGCTAACAGTATCCCTCTCTGCTGTAATCCTTTCTAGAAGCGGGTAGAGTTTTCCTCCAAGAAATATGGAACTGACAGACCAGGGCAGCTGTGTGAAGCATCCCATCTGCTCTAACCACTGGATGGATGTTCTTCCTGCCTTGTACCGCTGAGCTATTCCAGGTGGTCTCATGGTCTCGGCTCTTGGCTAGCCGGCACTACAGAGGCCAGTAGTCAGACCCTGCATAGCCGAACAGCTAGCTGGTAGGCACAAACGTAGAACTGGAGGGTTGAACTCTTAGGCAGAATTGGACCTCCTCCAAACAGTTTTGCCTCAGAACTGCTCTCAATACTGCTGTAGCGCTCTCACATTCCATGTACAAGCTCTGCTCGCACCTCCCCGAATACCTGGGCTGTCCATTTTGGGTCCCCCTGGCAAGTGCAGAGTTCTCTTATGCTGCATTTTCTCACTGCTAACAGGAGCACCCGTGAGGGTTCCTGCTCTGAGTAGCTAGAAGTCTCCTTAAAATAATCTGAGAAGGCAGCAGGCAAATCAGGATCAAAGCATTACTTGTAGATGAACTTCTGTTTGTTATCAGATTAGCGTTTGGGCCCCGAGGTTGACCTCCTGCAGTGGCGTTGCCCAGCTCTGAGCCAGGTGCTGGTCTGTAGCATTACAAATACTCGAGGAAGACACTAGGGAGGTGGCTACTGGAGTAGCAGTGCAGGTGGCCCTCTCCATACGGGTGTCATGCTGTCTTCACCCTTCCTAGGTGCTGAAGGGCTTATATTGTGCTGTCTTACTTCTCTTTAGGGGGCGATGGTGAATGTTTTTAAAAGGGGTCTGCAGTGGTTTGATGCAGTGAGAGCTTTGGCTGATGGAAAGGCTCTCGGGGATAAATTCTCTAGCCTTCTCCAGACTATGGCTGCTCAACTGATGGAGTTCTTTGGGGAGAACTTGTAACAACTTTGATACACCCAGACAGGCTGGTTCCTACATGAAAAGCTGTTTTATGTCCTTCCTTATCCCCTCCCGTGTGGTGGGACTTCTGTCCTGCTGTTGAAAAGGGCTGTTGAAAGGAGTTGTACTTTCAATGACTTGGGACATCCATTTCTTTATTCTAAGACTTTCTCCTGTCTTTAAGAGCAAAACCAGATTTTCTGAGGGGAGGAAAGAAAGTCTTGTTACCAGCTTTTCAATCTCCTCATGAGTTTCCTTGGCTTCGTTCCTCAAAGGCTTTTGGTGATTTTGTTGTTGCTGCTGAAGTCAGAAGGTATTTAACTAGTGGTTCCTTGCTTGTGTGGCCAAGTAGCAGCTGCTCCACCCTTGATGTTTCCACCTCTGATTTCTTTCAGTCCTAATCTGCTGCAGGAGCAGCAAGGCTGGATGAAGCAGCAGTTCTTTGGGTTGGGAGGTGTTAGTCTGGGGTGCCTTGGGGACCCCTTGTTTCATAGGGGCCTAAAGAGAGGATGTTTAAACAGCTCTTACAACGCACTCCTCACAGCCAGGACTGCTGCCAGGCAGGGGAAGGGGGACCCGTCTTCAGTGGGGAGGAAAAGCAGGAGGCTGTGCTGGATGTGGGGAGAGATGAGCCTTCCCTGGGGGGAAGAGGCCCGTGCTGCCTGTACCTCGCTGTAATTCTGGCTTCGGGAAACTTTGTGGCTTTGCCAATGAGGTAGAAGCAACAGGATACTTAGAGATCAAGTTGTTGATGGTGGTCAGTCAGGATACCAATTTTGAGTTTGAATTTTGTGACCTAACCTAGAATTATTCACGCTTTGGCGGTGAGCGGAATGAAGGCCAGGAGCTGCTTTGGGGGAGGCAGCGTGTTTGGGAAAGCAGAGCCTGTTTTCCCTTAACGAGTGTCAGCGACTTTGTTTTAGCCATTTGGAGCGCTCTTCTAAAATGCCCTTTCCCCGAAAGAGAGGAACAAGTGACACTTCTTTTTGTTTTTTTTTTTTTTTTTACCGTGTCTGGAAAGAATTGCCAGAACAGGGTATAGAGAACACTTCATCACTCTCAAACTCCTTCTTTTATGCTTCTTTTTAAACACTATTTTTATAATGCTTCCTTTAACTAAACGGGTGGCTTTGTGCAAACGTCTCCTGTTGGGTCACCGCCTTGAGCTTGGAGTTGACGCTGCTCCAGGCGATGCCTGCGGTATTTGAGTGCCCTCTGTGGTGGCGGCCGGGGGGACCCAG